GTTCAGGCCACCTTGAAAATAAAGGTGTAGTTGGCACCTTGCCAGGTATAGAGACCCAGGGTAGCTATGTAGCTGTGTTTTTCAAGCTAAATTCAAGGTGGCCTGAGACCACGGTTTGCTGCCCTAAAACACTCTGTTCAGGCCATCTTGAAAATAAAGGTGTAGTTGGCACCTTGCTAGGTATAGAGACCCAGGGTAGCTATAGTGCAGCTACCAGGTATAGTACTTCAAGTTCCCTTTCCGTCAACCGCTCGATAGCCTCTACACACGCACAGCAATCCACAGCTTTGAAGTCTCATTCGTGCTTTGAACTTGTGTAGGTGTGTAAGAGGTATAGCAACATAGTATTTATACGGACCCAGGCTAGCTTCAGAAGAGCACTCCGATACTTCACTTACAGCACTCCTTGAAGAGCATGAGTCGCTTGCGCATAGCCACCAGAAACAAAGGATCTTAGTCTTACTGGAAGTGGAATGAAACACCAGGACCTTCAGAATGACCTCTTTGGAGTCTCCAAGTGACCTCATTCGGGACTAAGTGACTAAGTGACCTCATTCTGGGATCTCGGACGGTCACTTTGAAGGTCCTGGTAGACACCAAATGATGTCAATGTGGATAGATTTGGCTACGGCCTAAAACATCGGATTCCATCCAAACCCCCCCCCTGTGCAGAGGAAAAATCTGGGCAAAATGACACCGAACCCCTCAATTGCCAGGAAGCGCAGGTTTTTGTTTTGACATGGTTACCTCTGTGTGGGCAGAACAAGACATGAAGCAGATTTGACACGCGGCCGCAAGCAGCTGCGAGAGCTCATTTGCTTGCTTCGACGCGCAGTTGTCGAGAAAGGGAAGCGCTGGCTTTCGTTTTGCAGCTTCTCAGGTATATATGGCCTCGGCTCGCTGCCGTGTGGGTGTGGGTTAGTGGACGGAGGTGTCGTCAAGTACAAGATGACAAATCTAGGTGAGACAAGGCAAGTCTTTGCATATATGGCCTCGTCTCGCTGCCGTGTGGGTGTGTGGATGTGGGTCTTGGGGTGTTGCAGTCGTTGATAGATGGATTGGTTGGTCGGGGTGGGGCCGGCCTTAGTAACACTGCAAAGCTAAGCGAGGCCCTTATGTACAAAGAGTATAAAAAACGTAAGGGCCTCCCCCGCAATGCGAACCAAGTATAGACGTGTGAAGGGGTGCGGGGGAGGGCGCAGCGCAATGTGATTTCGTTGCAGGCGTGGGGAAGGGGTGGTTGGTTTGTGTTGTTGTTGCTGTTGTTTCTGTTGGTTGGTTGTACGGGCAGGTACCTGGAGGAAGCAACTGGCAGAGGAACTGGACGCAGGGACCTCGGACAACTCGACTCTACTCGAGCAAGAGACTGAAAAAACATACTGTAAGTGGCTGGCAGGCGCCGCGTAGAGCTGACCTCTAACCATCCGATCCATGTTTGAGACAGTCACGTGTGACCAGCCAATCCTTCACACCGTCTCCCGTCCCCACCGTTGTCTCTCTCTCTCTCTCTCTCTTTTTCTTTGGGGCTTCAAAAACATTGTTTTGGGGTCGAAAAAAAACCTTTCCGATCAAAAAAGACAATTCAGGAGTTGCAAAAATACTTCTAAACTCAGAAAATACCATTTTGGAAAAATACAGGTGTTGAATTTTTTTTGGTGTTAAAAAATACCCAGCCCGGTGACTCCTGCAGTGCATCTTTGCTGAGAGTGCAATCAAAGACGAGGATGCTCTCATCTGCGCGGGCCTTCTTGCGAGTCCAAATAGTTGTTGATCGAAGCGTCGGCGCCTTGCGAAGATTCTGTTGGGTGGTGCACAAATCAACCGTCATGGGCGCTGAATAAGAAGGCTTCAGCTATGTGGGCATGAGCTCCTTGGCAAACTTGTTTCATGTCGAATGTGGAGTTTCTTGCACATCGTCAAGTCGGTCTCGGTCTCAGCATCGATGAAGACAAGTTGTCGGCCAGTCGAAGCTGCTTCCTGTGTGGACAGTCTTGCAGGACGCTCTTGTGACACACTCTTGCATGTCACTCTTCTTGCGGGTTGCCGGACAGCGCTCTTGCAGGACACTCTTGCGGGACACTGTTGTCGGATACTCTTGTGGAACACTTCAATTCCGCTTTCGTACAAAGTCTTCCTCAAAAATTCACGCGCCAATCCTCCAAAACGAGCGCTTTGTACGAGACGTCCTTAAAAACTCACGCGTGAGTCTGCAAAACGTGCGTTTCGTTCGAGACTTCTCTAAATTTCGCGCGGTGTCAATCCTCCAAGACGAGCGTTTTGCAAGAGACATCCTCAAAAACTCCCGCTTTGAGTCTGCAAAACGAGCGTCTTCAAAACGAGCGTTTCGTGCGAGACATCCTCCAAAAGTCACATGTCAAAGTCTTCAAAACGCGCATTTCGCACGAGACATCCTCTGCAAGTCAAGCGGGACCCCCATCAGAGCACACACATCAAGCAGCCCTGCCAAGCAGTTTCGTGATTACAGCCTTCCCCAACAACGACATTCACTTCCACCACGCAAAGTGCGCCGCGAAATGTCACCTCTGTTACACCTTGTCAACATCTGACGCTTCCACATGAATTCTCGCTTTTTCACACGAATCTGACACGTCACGGTTTCATGCAAAACTCTTTCCAAAAACTTCCCTGCGAGCACTTGCGGACAGTTGCGGACAGTTGCGAACGCTGAGGCAACGGGTCGCGAACAAGGCCCCACCAAAACCCCCAGACTCCAAGAGTCAAGCGACAACCCTTCGCTGTGCATTCGGAAGAAACAAGGAAGCTGTATTAATTTTGTTGGCTTTGTGAAGGGAAAGAACACCTAAAGCCGGGTGACGCGCAAGAACCTCGTGCCTCCCCCCGGCCTTAGGGAGAAAAGTGGCTCTGCGTCTTGTCTTTGTTTTTGCGGTCTCAATCACATAATATATAATTTGCAGTTTTTCACAGAAGAAAAATTGTGGTTGTCTGACTTTTTCACGCTGCAAGACTGGGTTGAAGCGTGACATTCGGACATGACTTTAGCGCTGCATGCAGGTTCGACGCCGGACTTTACCGAGTAAGTAGTGAGGACGAACATGGTTCCAGGTTGTTTCACTCCACATATGGAGTCAATTGGCCTGGAACCATGTTTGTTTTCACTTGGTTGGTTTTGAACTCGCCGTGCTTCTTGTTCTTCTAGCAGTTTAAATTGGGTTCCAGCACTGGCATTTTTCAGATTCGTTTCCTTTGGCTGAAGCACCATGAGAAGTGCACGAGAGACCACCTCGCCCAGAGGGTGCCCAGGCAGGAACATACATGTGCTGTATATCTATATAATATATCAATATGTAATGTAGGCATGCACGCGTGTTAAATTGTTAAATCGTTTGCACCCAGGTTTGCTGGATGTGAAGGTTTTCTTCCTCTGCAGTTGTTCTATCAATGCGCATGCATTCACTAGCTTGTTTGCCAACCTCTGCCAGCCCCTTGTTCCTATCCTTTGCAATGAATGCATTTGTGAAGAGACGCGCTTGAAGTCAGGAGGTTGATGAAATTCAACCAAAAGTGTACTTCTCATTTATTCATGGCGCTAAACCGAGGCTGGAACCCCAAATGATATTCCAGTGACGGGCCAACATCGATCAAGATACAAACAGTTTGCAAATCTTTGCGGGTCAAAGGTTAGTTTTGCCAGACACGGGTGCAACCAACAAAGGTTTCCTGTGGTGTTGGTGAACCCACGACAAGGCATTTTGCGTGACATGTGCGCCAAGTCCTGTTGCGTTGTACAATGGTGCCATAGTCAATAAACCCGAGACAAAGATGGTTGCATTTGCGCACCAACCAACTCAAGTTTAAAAACAACGATTCTTTTGGATTTATGATTGTTGTCCAAAATCTCGGAAGCAGAGACTGCTGTAATGCGTGAAACACCGGCAGATGTCGGCTAGCTAGCACCATATTGGTGTATTTTTTGTTACAAAATAGTTTTAGTTGCGTATGTAGCTCATCAGGTTCTTCCATTGCATTTGTAGTGACCCTGACAACATGATTCCCTGCTGCCTGGGCACCCGTTTCCCAAACAGTTTGGCTGAGGGTTCTCAACTAAGAGTCAAATAGTATCTCTTGTCGTGTTGCCCTCTTTTGTGATAGCCTGACTGTAGTATGATGGTCTCCTTCTTTTTGTGTCGACAGCTGTTTCCCTCTGTTTTAGTTTTGTGCAGGTCATGCTCAAAGAGGCATGCACAACATTTGTTGCACAACATTTGTTAAAGACCCAAACTCCTGAACACCCTGATGTGGGACAAAACTCCTTTTGGCCCGCAGTGACAAACTGGGGGCAGGCCTCCAACACCCCACACCTTTCATGCACAGGGCGGGTTCGGTGGGTGGGCTAAATAAACCACAGGGTCGCCTTTACTTATGAAAGGACTCCAAATGCACTGTCACCCTTGGTTCACAGAAGCAATTCCAGCAACACGACATCGAGCAAATCATGCTTGCAAGACATGGCATGCACACCATGTATGTCCCTGCCCAGTCAACATCTCCCTGCTGTAAGAAACTACAAACTGCTTTTGAATACTTCAACAGTGCCAATCAGATTTCTCATGTGTCAGTGTATGGACGAAAAAGTTTCTGATTTCCACCCTCAGATTGTGTTAGTTAGACCTTGTCTTAAACTTAACGAGCGCCACAGTGATATACAAGAATGATGGGGTAACGGGTAATAATAGTGTGCTTGAGGTCAGAGCGGAAAAGATCTTCTTCTGGCTTTGTGCATCAGCAAACATTGTGTCATTCCTATGATTCTCGAAAAAGTTGAAGCCTTGAGTCATGTTTACTTTGCTTGTAGGCCGCAAGCTTCGCTGGCATGCCTTTGCTGTCGCCTTTGGGATGCTGACTGGACCTCAGTTGTTAAGAAGTATGCAGTGCTTGAGTTTGTGAAGCTGGATTCTGAATCTCTCAAATCACGGGAAGCCGAATGTATTGCACGGCAAGAGTGAAAGTGTGCTGGGCAAGTGTCAAATAAATGTAAACATGCTATGGGATGTTTGTGTTTGTGCAGTTTGCAGTCTTTTCTTGACATGGCTTGTTGACAGCCGGCTACCAACAAGCCGGCCATTTGACACCTGGGCTTTGAGCATATTGCCTGTACAATCACAGTGTTCATGACTGGCTGGCTATCTTCAAAAATGACCGAAGTCCCGAGCTCAAGATAGCGAACACCTTGAGGCCAGCCTTTGCCGCTGTCCGACAAGCATTCATGAGGGCAACTTTGCCGTGATGCTACGACGTTACGTTGGGAGGGTTGAGAGGGCGTGGACCTGTTTCTGGGTCTTCAGGTATTCCACAGACAGGGTGTTTGCACACTACCTTCTTCAAAATTGCGGCTGCAAGTCCCAGAAGGTTTGCAAGCAGAGAGCTTTGAGCACTCCTGATTATTTCGTGATTCCTCACTTGAAGGACGAATTCCAGTGGCGATTGTTGCCCCCGGCTCTTTTTCGTCGAGTCCTTGGAAATTTCCACTGGGCTCTTGTGTCAACGACTGAGTCCCAGGCCGCCAACGCTGCTGCATTTGAGGATGTTTGAAGAGGCCAAACAATTTTGATTCCCTCTCTGACTCTCTGTCCTTCCTTTTGCCAGCCCGTCCGGTAGGCTCGTGATGCTTTGGAACGCACTGGAGGTGAGAGTGTGAGGAATGTCATTTGAGAGGAGTGTGGAGTGTGGAGTTCGATATTGACATATTGACCCGGCTGGAAGGTAAATTTAAAGTGGTTGGTGGCTACATGTCTCCTGTACATGATGCATATGGCAAAGCACAGTGCCAAGATGATCACCGTTTGCAGTGAAACGGATCAACAATCACCAAGGCTTCTTTAGCACCAGCACATCATCGATTAAGCATGTACAAGTCTGAGGTCCAATCCAAGAAACGGCCTCGTCCATTCAACCAGCTAAGGGTGGAAGCAGCAGTGTCAGATTCGGATTGGATTATGGCTGATAGTCGGCGGCTTAATCAAGTTACTTGAATTTGGAGATGATTGGCAATAGCCTTTATGTTGTGCAGGCTGGGAATGCCTGTGCCGAAGTGAGTGGACACCAACAGTTGAGGCTGCAAGAAATTGGCAGGTTCTCCAGCGCTTCAGTTGGGCACCGTTTGATTCTGTGGAGGTGGTTTCGCGTTTCGCAGCCGAGCTCAGCAAGGTGCACTGAACAAGAAGCCTGCTAAGCTTTGCCAATCAGTTCGCATTTTTAAGGGGAAGAAAAAGACCGCAATATCAAGCTGAGCAACTCTCAAGCCCTCGTTTATCTTTCACCTTGATGCACCTGTACCTTCACCGCTAAGGTGCCATTAAACGAAAGAAGAGCGACCAAGCCAAGGTTGCCAACTATTAACGTCGTGTCTGTTGTGTGTAGGGCTGGTAGGGTGAGGTTTCAGGTGCCGTGGGATTATCCCTCTTGCAAGCTGAATCCTGAAGAGGGGGAACTGTCTCAATTTAAATAATTGATGAATGTCCTGACTGTCCCGACTGCCCAAGAAATTGCAACCACGCTCGGTCCTTGGCGCTGCACCATGCACTCAAGCTTGAATTTTCCATTCTCTTCAAGCCTGTGAATCTGTGAACACTCAGCTGCATCGTTTTCGGTTTTTGGTGTCAAGCGCCCTGCAGTTCTCACGTTGTTTTTTGCTCACTCAAGCATTGTTCCAGACATGTTTGTATGTCAACATTCCTGGATTGGGGATTTTTTCCGTGTGGCTGCAAGACAGGGAAGTGCAGCTTGGTCACATTAGAGTCATTACAGCAGCTTCCTGGAAACATCATGATGCCAACAATCAAGAGCGCGAAAGGGAAATGCCATCACATGCTTCCCGCTCAGAATGCTGTGAAACATGTCAATGCTGTGGTGTGATGGACCGTGGTCTGGAAATCTGTTCTGCTGAAGTTTTTCGTTGCTCTCCGTTGGTGACATTTGTTTGTTCCGGTCACTTGTCCGCGAAGTTGTCTTCTTTTGTCTCATTCGCGGCCGGCGTTCTGCTTCCGAATGTTGCCAAGCTGTTGATTGTGATCGGAGGTCTTGCGTTCCCTTGGCTGTTGCTGCCTTCGACATCATGGATGTTTGTAGTGCCCTCGTTGCCAATTTCGCAGAGGACAGAAGCAAGTCTAAGTCTACACTTAGGCGGAAACTGAAAAGCATTCAGAACTGGCCGAGTTGCCCGAGCACATCTGTTGCTTTTGGGAGTTCCGAGAGCGTCTGCGAAGGGTTCTTCGTAAAAAAGCATCTGCAGAATACATCTTCACATCTTCACATCTTCACCTCTGCACATTCACATTCTCACCTAAATCTCTGCTCATCTACACATCTACATCTCTCCTCATCTGCTCATCTG